TCCCGTGTTGTTGTTGTGTCTCCCGTGTTGTTGCTGTGTCTCAGTTTGGTCGTGGATCACGGAGTCAGAGGGTCTCTGGACACACTGGACACTGCAGTGTGAGTTCTCTCAGTAAACTCGGTTGTCATTAATTCATTTTCACGTACGTTTGGTCAAAAGGGGAAAATTGAAAGTAAAAACTCGGTAAAAGACAAACAAATCTAATATAAATACATACTGGTATCACTTCCAGACAAAAGAAATCCTCGTAGCCGTGTGGTTGTTTCCTCTGATTAATCTTCAGTTTTTCATTCAGGCGGAGAGCGAAGAAGCTCAACTGTTTGACTCTGCTGTTCAACGACCTCAGTCTGGAGAAACAGGTGCGTTCATTCTCCTGTTTCCAGAAGATGTTGTTTGTCCGCTGGTTTTAAACGCGTCGGGTCGTTTGTTCCAGTTCCGCTTGTCGGAGGTGACGGGTTTGCATCACTCCATCAGCTGCGTAGCTCTGATCTTCGTCACTCTGTTCATCGTCCAGATGCTCGTCTCCGAAAGGTGACGTAACATTTCAGTTTCATACTTAAACTTGGACTCGGTTTGAAGATGGACGACATGACTCCGCCCTAAAAGTGAAGCCAAAACATCTCTGAGATAATTTCTGTCATTTTAAAAATGGCTGCTCCCTCATCCAGGATATTTTGGCTTCATTTTTGTACAGTGGGAGGAAGTGGAGACACGTCGTCCATCTTTATTTAAAGTCTTACTTCTTTCAAGTTCTGACAAAACGTCATCGTCACAAACCCACATTCATTAAGTAAACGATAGATTCTCACTCCTCCCAGGAACTTTGAGATGGCCGTGTCTTACGGAGTGACCTTCCCCGTCATCGTGCTGCTTCTGTCCATCGCTTTCACCGGATACTTGGAGGTAAACAAGCACACGTGGTGTCATTGTAATGCAAATAGAAAGATATGCAGAGTTTAGTGAGGAGATGAAACAACTTCCTGTCCTGATGCCATCAACGTCCGGCCCTCCTGGCGTCACTGACGACACGTTGCTGTCGTGTCGAATGTGTTTTCAGAAGTGGCGCTCCAAGATGCCCACGGGTATCCAGTGGATATCAGGGCTGTCCCGTGGCGTCTCCACCAGGGCGGCGCTGCGACTGTTCGTGGTCACTCTCTGCGTGCTCATCATCCTGCTCATGGCAATCCTCAACCTCGTACGTTACTTTTTCATCTTCTTCAGATTTCTTTTATTTTTTTAATGTCTTCTTCTTGAACCACGTTGCTTTTGGTTCCAGTTCTTCCTGCCAGGAAACAACTGCACCGCTATCACAAGCAGGGCGGAGCTGGAGGGTCTCAACCTCTACACGGTGCCCGTGAGTTCCTCTTGACTGATTCCATTTCGACGATTAATCATTTAAAAATGAATTAACTTGAGAGGCTCTTCAACCGTGGATGAGAACGGCTGTAACGTTCCTCTCTTTTATCAATGAAGCTGTTTTTCAGCTGGAAAAATATCAGGAAAATGTCCGGACTTAAGAGCAGGTCTGAGAACAGTTCCAAGAACATAAGAAATATGGTTTCTCTTCCTTTAATCTTGTTTTATTAAAGTTGTGTCTGTCGTATTATTCAATGAGAGGTGGACAGGTCGGCTCAGCAGTGCAAGTAGAGCCATTTAAATTAAACAAAATACATAAAGAGCAGTGTTATAAAACTATAAACGTTATGCAAAGGTTTAATGAACGTGTATTCTCTGACCCCCCAGTACTACCTGTACTGCTGCCTGCTGGCCCTGCTGGGAGTGATCGTGTTCGTCAGGACGTGCCTGTCGGTGAAAGCTCTGCTGCTCACCCTGGCTGTGGTGGTTTATCTGGCGCTCTTCCTCTACGTGTACGCGCCGAGGTCCGGCTGCCTCGTCGACCTGCTCTACAACAACACAAAGTGAGTGTCAGTAATCCCGCTGAAGTTCACTTTCCGCTCATTGACATTCGCTCGTCTCGCCCGAGGTGTCGCGTTTCCTGCCTTTTCACTTCCTGCCGGCCGACGGTCCGGATTGCGAATCTAGAGTTTCAGATCGTCGTCATTTATTCAGGAGCTGTCTATAGACGGAGGCCTTCCCCGGGGGTGCAGGTCCCTTTCACTGTGAGACACGAGACACTCTGAGGAATTGTGTAACGGAAAGAAGAAGTAGGAGAAGAAGAAGTGGCGGTAGTTTGATTTTCCAGATTATGCGAGAGAACCGATCTAATTATGTGTTTTGTTTCAGGCCGGGGGTTCTGAAGGATCCTCAAATCATGTCCGGTGTTTGGTTGGTCATCTTCTACGTCGTCGGCCTCATACTGGCCAGACAGGTGTGTTTACAAATGTTCATCCATCTTTATTTTATTGTATAAAGAAGACAAATTAACTTAATTCTTTCTCTCTCTCTCTCTCTCCTGCTGTCCCGCTCAGGACGAGCTCAGTTGCCGTGTGGACTTCCTGTTGGAGCGATGCTTCCAAACAGAGCGAGAGGAGATGGAGACCATGGAGAACGTCAACAAGCTTCTCCTGCAGAACGTCCTGCCGCTGCACGTCACCTCCTTCTTCATGGGCAAGACTGTGAGGAACCAGGTAATCAAAGAAAACGGATTTTCTTTATATATTCTATATATCAGGACCGAGTGTTGACGTCAAAGTGACGGTTATAAGTCATTAGTGTTTTAAAAACCTTTACGTCTGCCCTGTGCTCATTTGCGGCTACAGAAATGACAGGACATGAGTTGTCTCCTGAGTCGTTGACTTTTAAATCTCTGCTTTGTCAGGACCTGTACAGCCAGTCGTACGACTGCGTGTGTGTGATGTTCGCCTCCGTGCCTCAGTTCAAAGAGTTCTACAGCGAGAGCAGCGCCAACAGGGACGGACTGGAGTGTTTGCGCTTCCTCAATGAGATCATAGCCGACTTTGATGAGGTACGAGGGGGAAACCGAGGCTGTTTGATAACGTCTCTGTCCGGATTCTTTGTCTGTCTCACTTTGCTCGTGTCTCCGTCACGCAGCTGCTCTCCAAACCCAAGTTCTCGTCGGTGGAGAAAATTAAAACAATCGGCAGCACGTACATGGCGGCTGCGGGTCTGACACCTCCAGGGGATGAAAGAAAGGTTAGCAACACTTCTGATAACACCCAATAAACTCTAATGTATGTGGAAATTAAAGTTTTGTGAAGTATTTCCTTTGTTTAAAAGTAAAAAAAGTACTCGTGAGACTCTCTTTGATTTACATGCTCGGCCCTGATGTTGTGAGAATGATCTCTGGCTCCCCCTGCAGAAATACGAGATGTCCTACAGTCACGTTCGAGCCATGGTGGAGTTTGCGTTCGCTCTGATGGCCAAACTGGAGCTCATCAACACACACTCCTTCAACAGCTTCAAACTCAGGATCGGTGAGTGTGTAGGAGAACCGCAAACATTAGAGAGGGAGTTTCAAGATAAGGTTCTTTTGATCGTCCCCTAAACTGTTTGTCGTTTGCCCGCAGGAATAAACCACGGGCCGGTGATCGCTGGAGTCATCGGGGCTCATAAACCTCAGTACGACATCTGGGGGAACTCTGTGAACGTAGCGAGCAGGATGGACAGCACAGGAGTGTTGGACAAGATACAGGTCTGAGAGACAGAACCAGTGGAAGACAAACCATGTCCCGTTTCAATAAGACAATTATATAAGCGTCAAATGAAGGAACCCGGATTCTCTCACAAAGCTTGTCTTCGTTTTTAATCTCACTGTCGGTTTCTCGCTCCTTCTCCGCTCTCAGGTGACGGAGGAGACGGCGGACTTGGTCCAGAGCATGGGATACGGCGTCACCCTCAGAGGAGTCGTCAACGTCAAGGGCAAAGGGGAACTCACCACCTTTTTTCTCAACACGGATCAGGCGTCTGCTCAGTTCTGAACAGACGGGTGCAGCTAACCTGCCGACGACTCGGTTGAACATTTGAACGGCAGCAGAGACTTCTGTGAGTTCACCCTCGTCCGTCTGACTCATCAGATTCTGAAGTAGAATCGTTTACGTCCGTCGAGGAGCCGCCTCTGCCTTTCAGATGAGACGCTGAATAAAATCCAGTTCAACGAAGACCCAGGACTTCAGGCGGAGAGCTGAGAGCTCCGTGTCTGTGCCCGCACATGTGATAAACCCATGTTAGTGAACACGGTTATTTTACAGGAAAGGAATGAGAGGACCACAGATTCCTGTTGTTTACGCCTCACAGCAGCAAAGTGAATATTGGAATTTCTCACGTTATTTACATTCTGTTTTTTATCGTGAATCTGAGCGTGTTTGTATTTTAAATGTAGGAAACACATTCTGTTTACATGCAACAGTTCCCTGATCTCCGTCTACTGGTTCCCAAACGAGAGGAGTCCCAGCGTAGGAAAGAAGAAAACTTTGTTCTGATGCAGAATTTTCTGTCTTCAGCCTATCTGTGCTCTTATTGTGAAATGCTGTATAGTTGTACCTGCTAAGCCCAACAGAAATAAT